TTAAAATGGCCATCTTAGCAAAAGAAATCCACAGATTCAAAGCAATTGCCATCAAAATTCCAACAGAATTATTTTCAGACCTTGATGGGATAATTCCTAACTTCATATGAAAAAAATGAAGGATATTGGAAATAATCTTACTAAAAAATAACTTCTCCGGGTATTATCATCTCTGATTTCAAGCTTTTATATTGAATGACAGTAATAAAATCCACATGGTAGTGATGTAATTACAGAGAGGTTAATCAGTGGACACTAATAAAAGTTCTCAATGTCTATGGGCATATGATTTTTGATAATGAAGCCAGAAATAGAGTAGAAAAAGAAAGGATCTCCAACAAATGATGTTACTCTACTTGGATTTATATATGTAGAAGAATACAAGTAGACTCATGTCTTTCACCCTGTACAAAACTCAAGTCCAAGTGGATCAAAAACCTCATCATAAGACCAGATACAGTGAACCTGATAGAAGAGAAAGTAGATATAGTCTTTAATACATGGGCTCTTCCTGAAAACAACACCAAGAAAAATTCCTGAAACAAAATATCCATGAAATCTGGGACACTATAAAAATGTCAAACCTAAGACATATATGAATAGTCTAAGGAGAAAATTACCAGGTCAAAGTTTCAGCAATCATGGAGAATAAAACATTCTTACTCTGTTAAAATATGAGTGAAAGTCAAGAATTTAAGCAGAACCTCAAAGGTCTTCTGTCTATCACATTTTATTTCTTTTTAATAGTGATTAATTTTTATTATTTTGAAACAGGTGTGTGTGTGTGTGTGTGTGTGTGTGTGTGTGTGTGTGTGCACGTGCGTGCGCGTGTGTGTTAAAGTGGGCACATGCAGGTGAGTACAGGTGACCTTGACGCCAGAAGAATTGTATCCACTTACTCTGGAGTTAAATATGGTTGCCCTTTGTCTGAATTGGGTCTTGGGAATCAAATACAGGTCCTGTGGAAGAGCATTACATGTTTTTGACCACATAGCCATTTCTTAAGATTTGTTTGTGTTTTACTTATTTCTGTTTCATCTCAGATGAAGCATTATTTAACCTAGTTTGTTAAAAGGATATGTTGCTTTTGTATTATAGCTTGTATCTTGTCTTTGATAATTGCAAATAAAATGCCTTATGTGCTATCTATCTGTGGATGGACACTTCTGTTTCACCTGGTCCCACAGCCATTTAGTAATAAAATAAACACACAGAGGCTTATATCAATTATAAACTATTTGATTGATGGCTCAGGATCCTTATTAGCTAGCTATATATTAATTATTAATCCATTTCTATTAATCATTATATCTCTATATAGAGCTGGCTGACCAGTGATTCCTGATCCTATTGCTTTCTCAGCAGCTACATGGTGTTCCTTTGGTGACTCACCCTCTGAGTGCCTCTTCCCAGAATTCTCCTTTTTTGGTATCTCCCTATATGTCCTGCCTGGCTACATCCAAATACTAGAAAAGCTTTATACATCAAACAATAGGAAAAACATATATTCACAGCATAAGAAGAACATCCCCATCATCTCCTCTTTTCTGTCTAAAAAAAGAGAAGTTTTAACTTTAACACAGTAAAATTAAATATAACAAAACAGTTACCAAGCAAGAATTATAGTTAACAATATTTAGTCTGTTAACATTTGGTAAAATACAAAGAAAATATTCATCATCTCCCCTACCTTTGTGAGTCTAAAATTTTATATGTAACTTATCTTTTATTATGATTAAGGAAAACCATAACTATAACTACCTGTCTTCAACTTCATCAATGACCACAGAAGCATATTATAGACTCTAGAATTAACAGAGACATCTTGCTGCCTGGACAGTCTTCTAAAATTCCTCTGTAAGGCTGGTACATCCTGCTTTAGCCTATAGGTCCAGAGTGTATGGCAGATTTTTTGATGAAGGAGGAACCTTGAAGGATTATTCTGTTACTTGGAAAGGTCAGCAGTCCTTTTCCTTTGTATCCTGCTTTTCAGGTTTAGACGGCATGCTGTCAAGCAGTTCAGAAAGAGCAGGTTCCTGTCCAAATAGCTATCCTTGCTATGTTGGAGGCAAACTCCATAATGAGTTTTTTTCTATACCCATATTCTTTTCAGATGTAATTGGTGTTGCCAGGAACAGATGTGTCTCATTGTCATGAAAAATCCTAATAAACATTTTCGATGCCATATTCTGTAGGCATATTCTTTGAAAGGTTTTGAAGAAAACCTACCCATTTGAAATATATTTCTGTATATCTAGAAAAGCTAACTAACATGACCATAAGTTGTGACTGTTATAGGTGATGATCTATAATATGTATGTAATTATACATTAAAATTTAAATGAGCTGTATAGATACAATATCAAAACAAGAGTAGAAATATACCTATAACAAAATTGACATTAAATTTGTATCACTTTACCAAAAGCCAAAGGAAGAAAGGGGAGACCACACACAACACCACTACCAGCAACAAATCCAAAACAAACAGGAATTAACAATCAATGGTTATTAATTTCCCTCAATATCAATGGTCTTAACTTGCCTATAAAACGACACAGGCTAACAGAATGAATATGAAGACAGAATCAATCCTGCTGTATACAAGAAACACACCTCGACTTCAAAGACAGGCATTACCTCAGAGAAAAGGATTGGGAAAATATTTTCCAATGAAATGGAACCAAGAAACAAGCTGGTGTAGCAATCCTGATATCTAACAAATTAGACTACAAACTAAAATCAATCAAAAGAGATGAAGAAGGTCATTTCATATTTATCACAGGAAAAATCCATCAAGATGAAGTCTCAATTCTGAACATTTATGCCCCAAATACAAAGGCACCCACATTCATAAAAGAAACACTAAAACTCAAATCACACATATAACCTCACACACTTACAGTGGGAGACTTCAACACCCCACTCTCACCACTAGACAGGACCACAGCACAGAAACTTAACAGAGAAACAAAGGAACTCACAGAAGTTATGACCCCATTGGGTTTAACAGACATCACAGAACATTCCATCCAAACACAAAAAAATATATCTTCTTCTCAGTGCCACATGGAACATTCTCTAAAGTCGACCACATACTTGGCAACATAGCAAACCCAAACATACAAAAAAATTGGTCCAGCTAATGTGGCATGCAATATGGAGCCAGATTAGACTGATAAAGGGTAGTTTATTAAGAAATAGTACTCACACATCACACTTAGTGAGTTGGCAGGGAGCAAGGGAAGAAGGGGTCCCTCTTGCAAGCTCTATTAAACCTCTCTCACCTAAGTGGGCATGGTCAGTGACACCTGTGTCCAGCCCCAAGTGGGCATGGTTAGTGTTAACTGTGACCATGCCCAAGCTGGTGTGGTCAGCAGTACCTCTAATCATGCTTTCTCCCTGAAATTTCCCTTTTAGTCTAAAAAGAATCAAAACTTAACAGTGTAAATTATCTACAATTAGCAATCATAAAGGTGAATTTACAAGAACTTATAATAATTTACTTATATCACATCCTAACTATCTGTATTCCAACTAAACCCTAAAGTCATCTGAAAGAGATGTCCAAGCCTGAACAACTCCTTCATAACCCAACCTTAAACAATAGGAAACTAGCTCTAACTAGGTGTACATTGTCCTTAGTGACAACGGTGGGGAAAGGGGGTATAGTGTTCTCCAAGTTACTTTCTGCTGAAATGGGATGACAATGATAGCCCCATGGGGTCCTATAGGAAGAAAATGTCAGAGTAGTGAAAGTCTTGAGTGGATTATCAACAACACATGTATCCAGTCTATGTTTGGTGTGAGATGCTTGATTGAAGGTCTAGGTTGAAGTCCTTATCTTGATTGAAGTTCTTGTGTTGATTGGAGTCTGTACCTGAAGCTCTGGCTGGAGTGTCAGTTCAAATTAATCAAGTTGGATCCTGAAAAAGCATCTATAATATGATGCACATATTTTAAATTTCCAAATTCTGCAAAGTGAAAGACATCCATCTCCCAAACCTCATTTCTCCGAATGCCCTTAGGATTACAGTCTGCTGGCAATGGAGGTTGATTATAGAAAGAACAGGTAGGACAGTTTCTCACAATCTCCTTGGCTTGTTCCCAAGTGATGGAAAAATTGTTTTTTAAACCTTTGCTACTTACATGGTGTTTCTTATGAAATTCTGAAGCATCTAGCACACTTTTTATTAATAAATGATCAATCTCATCCTTGCCTTGTGCTAGTGGGCCTGTCAGACCTGTGTGGGATCTGATATGTGATATATATATATATATATGAATTGCATATTATTCTTTCTTCTGTACAGAGGCATACAGAGTTTGAACTACTTTACTTTCCTCACCTGCTTTATAACCTGCTTGCCTGATTTGTTGGCATTAGTGTAGAAGGTAAGAACTCCAGAAATAAGGGTTTGTCTTACAATATGAGGAAGGATCCAGATTGTCTTTTTTATGAATTTAATTCTGTCAGTTTTGAGATAATTGTTGCTAATTTTTTCCAAAAAGTCAGTAAGAGCTATCTGCCA